TTTGCACGAACATTTCAGATTCAAAAATCATTAGACCATTTTTGAAATATTTGCATGGAAAATTTTTGAAAGTTTTACATTGAACAAAGCATAGCTTCGGTCATTTTAATAAGCAGCAACTGCGGAGCGCTCTGAATATAGAGAAAAAAAGGAACTCCCACGTTAACACCTCGAATGAGTGTTTTCGGATCGCTCCGAATATGGTCAAAGTGTTTTTGCCTTCTTGTTTTTTTTTATCTAGTCTGTGAATTTAAAAAGAAATTTTCAATCAAGAAGGAACTGATCGTCGTTTCCGACTATTCCTGAAAAGGACCACCGTAAAAAAACTGTTGACGCTATGGCAGTTTCAAAAGTATTTAGAGGTAAACAACAATGCATAAAAAATTACTTTTGTCTAACTTTAGAACTTTTCAGACGTATTTAATAAAAAAATACTGGACTTGGCAAAGAAATTCCATAGATCCGGCGCCAAGTGGTTTTGATCTACTTAAGGAGTTTTCCGTTTTTATCTGTTTTTTTACTGAATAATATGTAAATCTGTAATTTAGCATTTTCTCAATAAAAAGAGATGATGAAAACACTTTAATACTTATTAATTATAAACATTATATTAAGAATATTTTGAAAAACCGTAAAGCCACCTTTTCGGTCTATTATCGAACTCCGCTGGTATGTTGGGAACCATATTTTTTAAAAACAATTTTTTTCAATTTTTCATATATGAATTTAAAATTATTAATAAATGTGAGATTATTTCAGATTTCTTTTGCGAGATAGAGAAGGTCGAGAACTCTCCCAGACTCTATTTTTCGAGATGTTAATTTAGTCGACTGGGTCGTTCAACCTCAGCCTGGAGCAAGTAAGATTCGCCACAGAATTTTTAAACTCTCTAATACCGTTTGATTTTTCTTGATTGAGTAGCCATTTATAATGAAATTTGTGAGCTAGAGAAGTGAAAGTCATGATTTATGTGTTGATCTATGAGTACCTTTGTTAACTGAGATCATTAACCTGTTGAAATTTTTTGAAACAGTTAAAGAAATTTCAACTTAAAAGATAGTACCAAGTCTTAACAAACAGGTATGTGTATTTTGTTGTTGCTTATCTAAAGTGTCGAAAACTTTTCTGATTTTGAGTAAAAATTAAAAATTTAAATTTGTTTGCTTCGCGAAGCATTGATCCATCATATCGCACACCGTCTTCAAAAGAGTTACGTTCGTCAGAAAATGCGAAAAACTATTTCATAGCACATGCTTATCATATGGGCAAGGGCGACTTTACCTTAGGTTTGTTTTAACAAATTATAGCAAAAATTTGCTCCAGCTTTTGCTGAAAGGTAAATAAAAGCTCTGTGTACATTTTTAGCGCATAATTTCAAAAATGCCAAATTTTGAGTTGTGACTCTTTTGAAGACGGTGTGCGATATGCAAGGCCCAGTAATCAGCGTTAGTGCTACGCATTAGGTGAATGTTCTAAACGTTGCTTTTCAATCGCTGTATGGGAAAAGGTTTCACATGCAAAAAGATTGTGACAATTTATATTTTTTGTGAGAAGAAATTAAAAATATTTGGCATCTTAGATACCGAATAATTTGAAAGAAAATCAAATCAGCTGCTCTACTGATCCTCCCTGTCAATCTATCGGTAGTGCAAAACACTGCAAAGAAGTACATTTGACTGTACGTCGAAGTACGAAGTACAACGGCTCAAAAAGAAGTACTGTACTTCCGAAAGAAGTACGGTTGGTCAAATTACTCATACATACGGTGACCATATTAACCAACGTAAAATAAAGGACTTTTTTTTCAAAACGATTTGGGAATACGTACATAAAACTTGTATGATAAAAGTACCTTAACCATATCGTAATTTAAATCAAATATTTACCAGTTAATTATATTATTTAACTGAACAAGTTCCCCTGCTGTAGCGAAAAATGAAGCCCAGTCCTTTTCAAGAACTTCGCCATCCTTTGCAAAATTTTTTTTGTGTATTTTTTTTTTTGTTTTGGGAGAACCATACAATTGTTTTCAACTAGTTTTCGTTAAGTAACATTTATTAACTGGAACTAGAGAACAAATTTCCTTCAACTTGCACTTTCTTTCTGCACTTTGCACTAAAAAATTTAATATAGATAATAAAATAAAAATTTAGAAATCGGGCTCAACTTGGCAACTGTAAGCTTTCATAAAAAAAATAAAAATTAATCAAATTAAGTGAAAAATGAAGCCTTCAGTGAATTACGAACACTAAATTCCAGTTTTGAACCACTGTGCAGCAGTGGTTTATTGCTGTCTTTCAGTGGAACTGGAAACTCAGCGTGCAACACGATCCTGGGCACAACTTTCCCTGTGCTTTATAGATTGTACAAAGATTACCGATTAAATAGAAACCCTTAAGTGCGAAACAAACTGGCGAAGGTTTTCATTATATTTTATAAGGAACATTTTTATTTTTAATATTCTGTGTTTAAACATTTACCTCTGAAAAATGCAGAGCGGATTTAAAGGACAGTTTAAGAAATAAAGGACAAAAGGTGTCCTTTATTATGAAAAAAATTATAAAGGACGGGGGGTTAAAATAAAGGACTGTCCTTTAAAATAAAGGACGGATGGTCACCGTACTCATACACCATGTACATACGATTGTAGTCATAATAAAAACATAACAACGCTATAAACATTTTGGCGAACATTCGAAAATTACCTTCGATATCCAATATGCATATCGAAATAAATTTTAGAAAATTACTCTCTCTCATTAAAATTTCAATTCGATAATGGGCTGGATTTCGAATGCTTAACGAAGGAAAAATACATTGGATAACGACGGTTCCGTTTTGCTGGAAAATGGCCAGGTTATCGAATCGAATACTAACCTATTCCACATTAGTTATCGAAGGTCAGACTGGAAAAAAAGGTCTGTTTTCCAACCGTTTTCGAATAGTTAACCAAGCCCAATGTTTATTGGGAAGGTAAAACGATTAAAAGGCACTCTGACGTTTTCCAGCAGAATAATTTAAAAATTCAAAACTCAACCACACATTCTCATTTTCACTTTCGAACAACAACAATTTCATTTTTTATTTTCAATGTTATATGATTTTAAAATTCTTACAAACGTCAGAAAAAAATCATGGCCGACGAAGAGAGAATGAATTTACCTTGTAATATTTATATCATGGTGAAATAAATATAAGGTGATGTCACTTACATAACCTCACTTTTTCTTCATGCCAATTGCGGCCATGCATTTGAGGGTAGTAGAAAAAGGGCATAAAGATTAGGATTTTTTTTTTACTTCTTTTTGGCTACTATTTCTAATACTGATTTTTAATATATATGTATATGTACATATATCAGTGGACTCCTCACCGGTTAAATGAAGCTTGCATCCATAAAATATTTTTGCTGTAAACTAGTGTAATTAGAGTTTAATTTTTTCGCTCAAAAGAAATTATTATTACTTAATTTTTATTTTTTTCGATCAATGATTAATGATTATAACAATTAAAAGATAATTTGTCATCCGTCTGAAAAAAAAAAATTAAATCAGAAGGATAAATAGTATTGTGTTATTAATTCAAAAGTAAATAATTGTAGTTCAATGACGAAGGGGGTTATCTATCCCCCCAAATCCCGCCCCCCCTGGCTACGCCACTGGTCTAACTTGCAAGTTTCTGTAAGTTTTCTGTTCGCGAACTATTTTGGATATTGCTCTTGTGAGATAACAGATGACATTTCGCCGGAATTTCGCTGTTGGACATAATAAATAGTAGGAAATAATATGCTGCAGAAACACAACAGCAAACAACAGCTGAGCTAAGAAGCAATGACATGCAATATCAGTAGGGGTATTCTCGAAGTCTTTCACGATGCGCGGATTGCATCGAATGCAAAAATACTATTCCAAATTTCGAAGAGTACGAGAGCACCCCAATGCTAGGTGGTAGCATGCATTCGTAGCAAGCAGCGAAATTATGTATCACGAGAGACAGCAAAAAAAATTAAGTGAGCAAGATGAGAGAAATGAGAAAAATATGTAGCAATTCCCACAACAAAACAACTAGCTCAGGGTCTTTTATCTTGCTATGCTATTTTGCAAAGTATATACATGGGTTTCGACGTTGCATATTTTGCAGCGATAGGAAATGTTGTTTCCCATGTAACGGGTGATTTTTTAAGAGCTTGATACCTTTTTTTTTAAAAAAAACGCATAAAATTTGCAAAATCTCATCGGTTCTTTATTTGAAACGTTAGATTGGTCCATGACATTTACTTTTTGAAGATAATTTCATTTAAATGTTGACCGCGGCTGCGTCTTAGGTGGTCCATTCGGAAAGTCCAATTTTGGGCAACTTTTTCGAGCATTTCGGCCGGAATAGCCCGAATTTCTTCGGAAATGTTGTCTTCCAAAGCTGGAATAGTTGCTGGCTTATTTCTGTAGACTTTAGACTTGACGTAGCCCCACAAAAAATAGTCTAAAGGCGTCAAATCGCATTATCTTGGTGGCCAACTTACCGGTCCATTTCTTGAGATGAATTGTTCTCCGAAGTTTTCCCTCAAAATGGCCATAGAATCGCGAGCTGTGTGGCATGTAGCGCCATCTTGTTGAAACCACATGTCAACCAAGTTCAGTTCTTCCATTTTTGGCAACAAAAAGTTTGTTAGCATCGAACGATAGCGATCGCCATTCACCGTAACGTTGCGTCCAACAGCATCTTTGAAAAAAATACGGTCCAATGATTCCACCAGCGTACAAACCACACCAAACAGTGCATTTTTCGGGATGCATGGGCAGTTCTTGAACGGCTTCTGGTTGCTCTTCACTCCAAATGCGGCAATTTTGCTTATTTACGAAGCCATTCAACCAGAAATGAGCCTCATCGCTGAACAAAATTT